TCCTCCTGTTGTGTTACCAGTCTCACCTTTGACAAACACCGACACACAACAGACAACAGAAAGAGTGTGACCTCTCATCTTAACCCAAGAGAAAATATCATCACAAAAAATAATTAATTTTACCTGGAAATCATGTCTGTCACAATAAATTGAGAGATTTGGCATGGCCATTAATTCCACCCAGTGTATTGTTATATTTCCAGTCTAAGGTGAATACAATTCCACACGTTACAGAGTAACAGGAATTGTCAATTACCATATTGAGTAATTACTCTGTCAATTACACATGGCATACAGAGGAACACAGTCTGGATAATGGGCCTAGGGTCCAAATCACTGATGGCAACCGAGGCCAAGGTCAAATCTGGAAAGTCATTGTGGCCTGTGTTCTTGTGGCTGAACTCAAAGTATCTTCTTGTTCCAAATGGAGAGACCGCGATCTCCCAGAATGAATTAGTTTTATTATTACACTGCATTCTTTCAGAAATGTTCAACTGTACAGTTTGTGACAATTGACAGCAGTTTTTCATTATGTACAGGAAAGGGGTTTTGTTCCGTTCCAGTTTGGTGCTGTATATGCTGACTGTACAATTAGCCACGCAGACTGAGCCCATTCCAGACAGTTCACTTACAAAGCTATTCCAGCTATTTCGAAGGTGGGTCGTGACTGTTTTTTATCCTGCTGGGTAGCCCTTGCTCTGCTTTCGAGAATGTGCCCCTAGATTCACAGAGAATATGAAGCAGCAGCAGTTAAAACACTATTTTTATTCAATCCATGCCTTTGAATTTTGCCAATAAAACAGTTTGGGCCTCACTTTTACGTTTGGATTCAAAACTTAATCATGCGGCAGGATTCTCAAGACGCCCTTTTGGAATTTTGGCATCAGTTCTGGTTCAAATGTTTCGTGAATAAACAACCTTAACAAGTTAACTCTGTCATTGCCACATCAAATTGCTGTATCTGACTTTTTATTACCACTCTCACTCTCACTTTACAGCTTTTCCCGTCTTATTTCTGAGCACCATTCTGTGAGCTCCTCCCTTTCCGATGCCTTCGCTGCGTTGGAGGGAAAGAAAACACACGTTTATTTATTTGGCATCTTTCATGATGTCAGGACATTCCAGAGCGTTTGCAGCCCAATGAAGTACCATTGAACTGTAGCCACTTTTGCAAATGTACAAAATACTGTAACCAATTTGCATACAGCAAGACCCTGTCCACAATGTAATAAAAATAAGACAATCTGTTTTTGTCATGTTTATTGAGAAATTAGTATTAAACAGGGCCCTGGAGAGAATACTCCTGCTCTTTAGAATAACGCCATGGTAACAAGTTACATCCACCTGAAAGAGAAAATGGAGATCATCATGGTGAGATATTGATATAAGAATTATTGCTTTGACTGGAATTCTGTTCTGTTCTCTTTGAATATATATAACAACAGTTCAGTTGGTGGAGAGTCATTCAAATTCAGTTCAAACATGTCTGATAACCACCTCTGCAAAACAAACTCTGTCTCATTCCCATAATGATGTAAAATACACTACGATAGGCTCTACAAGTGACGAATGGGAGGTTGGGTTGGTGATGTCCATGTAAGGGTAAATGGCTGAGCTGGGTGAATTAATAGGTGGATAGCAGAATGGGTACCTGTAGGATTTAGCTGACAAGACAAAGTAATCAATGGGTGAGAAATGGGTGAGTGAGTGAGTGAGTGGGTGGGTGAGAGTGACATATGAGTGAGCAAAAGGAAATAGATGGATAAATGATTTGAAGGTTACAGAGTTGATTATGGGTCTGGGTGGATGAATCAGTAAATGGATGAATGCACGTGTGAGTCGACAAGGTCGTGGATGGGTAGGTGGGTAGATGATCAGGTAAGTGATTTAATGGCTAGATCGTTTAGTTGCTGGGTGAGGAGTTGGGAAGATGCTTAAGAGTTGAGTGAATATATAAAACCATTTCTTATTTCAACTTCACTCCTTTACATATATTTCTTCAATAAAAACAAATAAATTGGGTTTCTAATGAGTGCCATTGAACAAATCCATTTTAATGTGTGAAGTATAATTTGGGGGATTGAGCTGTGGGACCAAACAATTCTCATGGTCAGTATCTGCAGAGACTGTATACTATTACACATTGTCTCAGACAGGTACAAAGTAATGAACTGACTGACAACTTGCTGAGCCTACAAATCAATAACAGGCATCATTGCAACAAAGAAGGAAGAATTCATACAGAACGCAGAGCTTTGCAACATCCTTTCAGGAAGCTGTGTTCAGTAAATCCAGCACAAACTGCAGTATGATTTCTGCAGCCAATATCTGGCACCCTTCCAACATTTAATAAAAGACAGAATAAAATTCCAGGTAAGTACATCTCAGTTATAATTAGTATTTCAACTAAATGAAGAGACAGTTATTTATTTAGGATTCCATTCCATTAAATGGTTGAACAAGAACTTTATCAAATAAATGAGAAGGACAACTCATGAACCCAACTGCAGTTTGTGTCTATGAATATGTAAAAATACGCGTGCAGTTCTTTGTTTTTCTGGGCTGTCAATCTGTATGTGGATCTCTCAAGTGGGGGAGTGTGTGAATCTCATCTTTTTAACATGAGTCACTTCCTTGTGTGTGTAGCTTTATGTTTCTCTGTTTGTGACTCTCTCTGAAATCTGCCTCTTTCCGTTGTCTGTGAATGTGTTGCTGTGTTGGCATTCTGATGACACAAAGATAGGGAGGAAAGTGGGTTGTGAAGAGGACATAAGGAGCCTACATAGGGGTACAGAGTAATACAGCATGGAAACAGGCCCTTCGGCCCGAACCGGTCCATGCTGACCATGGTGCCTACTCAGCTAGTTCCAATTACCCACATTTGGTCCGCATCCCTGTAAACCCTTCTCATCCCTGTACCTATCCAAAAGTTTTTTAAATGTTGCTGTTGTACCTGCCTCAACCACTTTCTTTGGCAGCCAATTCCATATACGCACCACACTCTGCGTGAAGAAATTGCCTCTCAGGTCCTTCTTAAATTTATCCCCTCTTAGCTTAAAACTATGCCCTCTAGTTTTCAAATCCCCATCCTCTGGGGAAAAGACTATATGCATTCATCCTATCTATGCCCCTTATGATTTTATACATCTCAGTAAGGTCACCCCTCATTCTCCTATGTTCCAAGGAATAAAGTCCTATCCTGGCCAACCTCTGCCTATAACTCAGGCCTACTAGTCCTGGCACCATTCTTGTAAAACTTCTTTGCACACTTTCCCATTTAACTATGTCTTTCCTATAACTGGGTGACTAAAACTGTACACAATACTCCAAGTGAGGCCTCACCATGACTTATAAAACTACAACATAACATCCCAGCTCCTATACTTAGTGTCCCAACTGATGGAGGCCAGCATGCCAAATGCCTTCTTCACCACCCTGTCTACCTGTGGTGCTGCTTTCAGTGAACTGTGTGCTTGTACTCCTAGGTGCCTCTGTTCCACAACACTCCTCAGGACCTTACCATTTACTGTATAAGTCCTACCTTGGTTTGACTTTCCAAAGTGCCACACCTCACACTTATCTGTATGGAATTGCATTTGCCAATACTCAGCCCACTTCCCCACCTGGTCAAGATCCCTCTATAATTTTTGATAACCTTCTTCGCTATCAATGATACAACCTAATTTTGTATCATCCGCAAACTTACTAATCACGCCTTGTACATTCACATCCAGATCATTTATGTAAATAACAAATAACAAATAACAAAGGTCCCAGCACCAACCCCTGTGGCACACCAATAATCACAGGCCTCCAGTCTGAGGAACAACCTTCAATCATCACCCTCTGCTTCCTACCATCCAGCCAATTTTGAATCCAATTACCTAGCTCTCCCTGGATCTCATGCGACCTAACCTTCATGACTAGCCTGCCATGCGGGATCTTGTCAAAGGCCTTACTAAAGTCCATACAGACAACATCCACTGCCCTGTTATTTTGTCTGTTTCTGCAGTCACAGCCTGTAGTAAGCCTTGAACCTGAAATCTTGTAATTCAGAAGCAAGGATGTTACTAATTGAGTCACAGTAGGCATTGAATGCAGACTTGGTTCATCCGCTGGACATTTCGGGTTCTGCAGATGGCATTAAGGTGGAGTGCACAGCTCTGGCTGTATTTGCTGTACGTAGGGGCAGGAGATTAAAGTCGTCAAATATCGACATTTCCAATATCAAATATCAACATCACCTTGTTTCTTTGGGATTGTGAAGGTGATATATTGAAATGGTTTGTTGTGACAGTGTAAAGGGGATAACTGAAGGAGCTGATGTCTGTGTGACCTGTGGGTGAACTCTCCGGTGAACACAGCTTTGAGGAAACATTTGGGACTTGATGTAGCAGAGGAAGCAGGGATTTTGATCATCTCGCATTTATGGGGGGATGCAGAAGCCAGCAGGCAGAGTGTTGAAATGGTCAGCGCTGGGGATGAGACAGGGATACAAGTGGATGACATTATGAGGTTATCAACTCAGGTTGGGCATATTCCAGGAGACATAGGTGGAAGCCACATCATGGAAGGCTGGTGGGGGGTTCTCATTCATTTCACAGTGACACCCCATTTCCCTTGGAAGTCTCTTGACATTTATTGCTCATATTAGTTTCCTCTTTCTCACCCTCACAGCAGCCTCCTCGGGTCTGTGAAATGTTTAATGTTAGTTTCCAATGTAAGTTGTGTTTAATATCTCAACAAGAAAATAAGGAGTAAAACTCTGGCTGAGTTCATAGTGCACCCAATCTGGCAACAACTGGAGCCGATAATAAAGAACAAATAATACTGCCCAGGAACAGGCCCTTCGGCCCTCCAAGCCTGTGCCGACATTACCTACTACAGGCTGTGACTGCAAAAACGGACAAACATTATTAACATTGTTTCAGAGATAGCTATTTTATCACAGACTTTAACCCTTACTTCCACATTGTAGAAATTATCTGGCATTAAATAGGTGTGAATCAGGTTCAGACAAACAATGACAGATAGTCCATTGTCATTTATTTTCTTTTTAACTATTATAGCAGACTAATTTATTTCTATTTATGGTATCAATTCATCCATTGTTTTGCAAATGCTGTACACATTCAAATAAAGTCCTTTTAATTCTGTCCTTTTATCATTGTTACCTTCTCCGACCATATTTGCTGGTGTACTCATCTTTACACTGTCTGTCACTCCCATCACACTCTGGTTATTGCCACCTGCATTGCTATTCTGCACTATTGCCTTGGTCTTTCCTTTTAATGTTTTCACTCTCCCTCCATGTCAATCTATCCCCTATTTAATTTGGAACCCTCTTTGAATAACCATTTTAAAAAAAAATTTTCAAAGGTTCTTTTTCGAAAGGAACAGTTGGAGCGCATGCCTAAAAATCAATTATTATGCGCAAAACCTCCTCAGTCCATCAAACTATTTTATTTGAATCAGAGATAGTAGGAACTGCAGATGCTGGAGAATCCGAGACAACAAGGTGCAGGGCTGGATGAACACAGCAGGCCAAGCAGCATCATAGGAGCAGAGAGGCTGACGTTTCGGGCCTAGACCCTTC